GTGCGGCTTATATGAGGCCAAGCCCAAAACAACAATTACATGAAATAAAAACCGAAAACGCAAATAATAAACAATAATAAAGCAATTACATAAAACAAAAAACAACATAGCAATATAAAATTGCAATAAACACAATCACGGTAACATGGGCGAGCTACATGTAATGGATAAAAGAAAATTGGGTAGAAACAGATTAAAAATATAAAGATAAAGTTCAACCTGCACACGAGCTTCACATACAAGGCCTTCTCATAATGAGGCCTACCTCACACTCTGAGGCTTTCTCCCACAGTGAGGCCTACTACCACTGAGACCTAGTCTCCCACTGAGGTTTGCCTCAGACTGATGGCTACTAAGCTGCAGGCACACCTGCTTATATTGAACTGCAGCTTTTCCTGAGTCATTGCATCCATTTAACCCTTTCAGTGCTTGACTCACATTTTTGTAATTAAAAATGCCTAGTTAATTTTTAATATATTGTCGAAGGCTTTCATGGCTGGAATCACTAGGTTCTTGTGGGTTTTTTCGGGCTATAGGGCCATGTTCTAGAGGCATTTCTCCTGATGTTTCGCCTGCATCTATGGCAAGCATCCTCAGAGGTAGTGAGGTCTTAACACCTCTCAACAAAAGATTTTCCCAGGCTCAGCCAGGCCTTCAAATGCTAATGAAGGTGATCAGTTGAAACATTCACACCTAGCTCCAGCAGAGAAGAACTCTTTGCCCCACCCCAGCCATTCCACAGATATATAAACCCATTGTCCTAATTGCAACAGACCTCACTACCTCTATGCTTGCCATAGATGCCGGCTAAACGTCAGGAGAAATGCCTCTAGAATATGGCCATATAGCCCGAAAAAACCCACAAGAACCTAATTTTTAATATTTCTGATACCCAGAGAGACATCTCAGTACCCTTAAGACAGTAAGAGTTCATCGACAGTGGTTCAGAGTATAGTGGAGTCTCCTTCTCTGGAGGTTTTTAAACAGAAGTCGGTTGGCTATCTGTTGGGAGGGCTTCGATGGTGCCTTCCTTCATGGCAGAAGGGGGTTGGAGTGGGTGGCCCTTGGGGGCTTTTCCATCTCTATGATTCTATGAATCTATGATTCTAGGAGGCGGAGAAGGCATCCGTGTTGTGCGACTTGGAGGCGGCGCGGCTGCAGGTGCGTGACTTGGAGGGCAGTTGGGACGTGGAGCATCGCCAGCGAGAAGCACTGCGAGCTACGCTGGAAGAACAGCAGCAGGACTGGGCCCAGCGGGAGAGGCACCTGGAGCAGCAACGCCAGGCACTGGAGGAAGGGAGCCGGAGCCAGGTGGAGAAGGAGAAGGTGAGACGCCCAAAGCAGGGGCCCTACTCTCCCTGTTGGCAGGAATAACTTGCCTGCTCCTGGTTTTTAAAAACATGCTTTAACAACCAAATCAGTGTTTTTAATCCTCACTTTCTCTGCATGCATCTATACTAGGCATGAGCAAACTTTGGCCCTCCAGGTGTTTTGGACTTATTTATTTACAACATTTATATGCTGCCCTTCTCATCCCGAAAGGGATTCAGAGGGGCTTACTATATATATATATATATATATATATATATACACACACACACACACACACACACACACACATACACACACACACACACACACACACACAAATGCTCTGTGCATAATGAGTACCTTAAAAACAAAAGAACCAATGAGCGAAATCACACCAAATTTGGCAACAAAACATCTCACAACACAAGGAGTGACCATCACTCAAAAATTATGACTTTATCATTTGGGAGTTGTAGTTGCTGGGATTTATAGTTCACCTGTAATCAAAGAGCATTCAGAACTCCACCAACAATGGAATTGAACCAAACTTGGCACACAGGACTCCCATGACCAAGAAAAAACACTAGAAGGGTTTGGTGGTCATTGACCTTGAATTTGGAGTTGTAGTTCACCTACATCTAGAGACCACTGTGGACTCAAACAATGAGGGATCTGGACCAAACTTGGCACGAATGCTCAATATGCCCAAATATAAACACAGATGGAGTTTGGAGGAAATAGACCTTGACATTTGGGAGTTGTAGTTACTGGGATTTATAGTTCACCTACAATCAAAGAGCATTCCGAACCCCATCAACAAGGGAACTGAACCAAACTTGGCACACAGTTCTCCCATGACCAACACATCCAGAGATCACTGTGGACTCACACAATGATGGATCTGGACCAAACTCTACACAAATACTCAATATGCCCAAATGTGAACACTGGTGGAGTTTGGGGAAAATACAGTCTTGACATTTGGGAGTTGTAGTTGCTGGGATTTATAGTTCACCTACAATCACAGAGCATTCTGAACCCCACCAATGATAGAATTGGGCCAAACCTCCCACACAGAACTCTCATGTGGGCCACAGCAACGCGTGGCAGGGGACAGCTAGTACACACACACACACACATATACATACATACTCATACAATATATTATATTATTAGCATAGTACAATATCAATATTCTGTATCACTATATTGTACTATACCATTATATTGTAATAATATTAGTAATATTACATGTAACATAAAATATATAATAATAATAATATATTATTATTATTAGTATTGTATTACATTATAATATAATATTATATGTATATACAATATATTATATTGGTAAAGGTTGTTCCTTGACATTAAGTCCAGTCATGTCTGACTCTGGGGTGTGGTGCTCATCTCCATTTCGAAGCTGAAGAGCAGTTCAAAACATGCAAATGTGAGTAGATCAATAGGTACCGCCTCTGCGGGAAGGTAACGATGCTTCATGCAGCCATGCCAGTTACATGACCTTGGAGGTTTCTATGGACAACGCCAGCTCTTCGACTTAGAAATTGAGATGAGCACCAACCCCCAGTCAGACCCGACTAGATTTAATGTCAGGGGAAAACCTTTCCCTTTATTTTACTTGTCATTTGTGGCTTCATGTATCCATACACAGTCCAGGAATGTATCCCTCATAAATATGGGAGTTGTAGTGTATCGTGAAAAACATACATAGTTTGAGATTAAAGCAGTATTTAACTAACAGTAGAATTACAACCATTTAGAATATTATTTTCAAAATAGTATGGCATCATAAATAGCCCTTCTTGACTTGCTGGAAGAGGATGTCTGCTGCTAAAAGCCAACAAAGAAGGACCAACCCAAGGCTGTGAAAATAATTCAGTTTGACGCCGCTTAACCAGCCATGACTCAATGCTATGGCATCCTGGGAGCTGTAGTTTGGCACTCTGCCAAGGCTCTCTTTGGCAGAGAAGGCAACAGTCCTTGTAAAACTACAATTCCCTCAATTCTATAGCATTGAGCCATGGCTGTTGGTGTCAAACTTGTCCCTTTTCACTTGATGGTGTGCAGGCAAAAATTAAGGCTCCAACCTGACCTTGTTAGTGCTCTTCTCTGAACCCAGGACATTTCTGCAACCCAAGGAGAGCAAGGCTGGTTGTGCGTTTGTGTGGGTTGTCGCCCCATTCATCAGGAAGCTAGGAAAGAGCTCCATTCTCTGAGAAACCTTCCTATGTGCCGAGGCGGGGCTTTTCCCAACTAAGGGGTGGGGCCCTGAGGTAAAAAGAGGCTGCCCCATAGCTGCTTCTTACCTTCCAGCAGGGAAGGAGGAGGGAGGTTTGGGCTCAGCAATGGAGTCCCAGGGCTGGGAGGAGCTGCAGCTGATGGACCCTTCTGGGGCAAAGAAAAAGCACCGACCTTCTCGATCAGTGAGTTGCATGGACGTATCATCTTGGAACCAGAAATATAGTTTGATGGGGAGAGTGAGATATGTTACCTGTGGGTCTGGTTTCAGGTAACAGTGCTAGGAAATATCTATGGAGATCCTAAGATTTTGTCTCACCTTTTCTGGACTACAACTCCCATTGGCCATTCTTCCTGGAGATTCTAGGACAGGTGTTGTTGTCCAGAAAAGAGAAGTTTTCCTACAGTTCGATTTGCCTTTTGTGGCTTACAGACTCTTAATTGTGCATTGTATGCTGAGTCCCATTGGCAGTAAATAGTCAATTAATCCAACTGTACTAGAGATTACAGTACTGACAGACAGTGCAAAAAGAATCTACAAAGCCCACCTGCTCCAAGGTGAACAGAACCGCCTGAACTGGGCTCTAGAGGCCAATGGAGACTCCACCACAGACATCAGAAGAGTTGCAAGACGAAGAACAAGCCACGAGAGTCAAGACTGGTGGTTCTCAACCTGATGTTTTGGCCTTCACCTCCCAGAAATTCTAACAGCTGGTAAATTGGCTGGGATTTCTGGGAGTTGTAGGCCAAAAAGGCCTGGGGACCCACAAGTTGAGAATCACTGATCAAAGCAAAGATCCACCCAGAGGAAAAGTGTTCTTCACGTACATCAAGGGAAGCACTGGCTGTGTAAGGAAGCTGATGAAGAAACACAACCTGCAAACTACAGACCCACTAAGAAAATCCAACAAATGCTACATTCAGGGATCCTCTCATCTCTGCAGGAGTCTACAGTATACTGCTATGCGAGTGCAGCTTTTTTCTGAATGAAGCACGGAGTGTTTGAGGACTGGGACATCCGTAGGGATACCAAAGTGCTTGTTTATAAAGATATTGTCCTCCCAACTCTGTTATACGCCTGCGAAACGTGGACTGTCTACAGACGTCACATGCAACTCCTGGAACGATTCCATCAGCGCTGCCTCCGGAAAATCTTTCCTCTTGGGAAGACAAGAGAGTTGCCGGGACGTATCATCTTGGAACAAATGTCAGCGTGCTGGAAGAAGCAAAGACCACCAGCACTGAAGCGATGCTCCTCTGCCATCAACTCCGCTGGACCGGCCACGTTGTCCGGATACCCAACCACCATCTCCCAAAGCAGTTGCTCTACTCCGAACTCAAGAACGGAAAAGGGAATGTTGGTGGGCAGGAAAAGAGATTTAAAGATGGGCTCAAAGCCAACCTTAAAAACTCTGGCATAGACACTGAGAACTGGGAAGCCCTGGCCCTTGAGCGCTCCAGCTGGAGGTCAGCTGTGACCAGCAGTGCTGTAGAATTTGAAGAGGCACGAATGGAGGGCGAAAGAAAGAAATGTGCCAAGAGGAAGGTGTGTCAAGCCAACCCTGACCGGGACCTCCTTCTACCTGGAAACCAATGCCCTCGCTGCAGGAGAAGATGCAGGTCAAGAATAGGGCTCCACAATCACCTACGGACCCACCGCCAGTACACCGATCTTGGAAGACAATCCTACTCGGACAACGAAGGATTGCTTAAGTAAGTAAGTACTACCATATAGCATGCAGCTGTGGACAATTCTACAGAGGGATCACCAAACGCAGCAGCATTTGCCGGTTTTGAATCAAGGAACAGGAAAGGCACTGCAGACTACTTCAACCAGAGAAGTCAGCCATAGCAGAGCACCTGATGAACCAACCTGGACACCTCATATTATTTGAGAACACAGAAATGATGGAGCATCCTAATAACTACCCTCTCAGACTACACAGAGAAGCCACTGATATCCACAAGCATGTGGACAATGTCAACAGAAAGGAAGAAACCATGAAAATGAACAAAATCTGGCTACCGGTATTTTAAAAACTCTAAAATCAGAACTGTAAACAAAGAACAACACTCAAAAAACGGGGATTCCATACAGCAAAAAATCAGGGCCAACTAATACCTAACAAGGATTTCCCCCAGGCAGTAAGCAGCCAATCCTTGAAGCTGCAAGGCTGTTCAGTGCAAATCAGGGTGGCCAATTGCTACATTAACACTTGCCTCAAACAGACAAGAGTTCAATGTATTGTCGAAGGCTTTCATAGCCGGAATCACTGGGTTGTTGTAGGTTTTTTTGGGCTATATGGGCATGTTCTAGAGGCATTCTCTCCTGACGTTTCGCCTGCATCTATGGCAAGCATCCTCAGAGGTTGCTCACATCCTCTGAGGATTTTTTGGTCATGTCAGGAACGACTTGAGAAACTGCAAGTCGCTTCTGGTGTGAGAGAATTGGCTGTCTGCAAGGATGTTGCCCAGGGGATGCCCAGATGTTTTTGATGTTTTTATCCTCTGAGGATGCTTGCCATAGATGCAGGCGAAACGTCAGGAGAGAATGCCTCTAGAACAGTGTTTCTCAACCCTCCTAATGCCGTGACCCCTTAATACATGAGGAACTCATGTTGTGGTGACCCCCAACCATAAAATTATTTTCATTGCTACTTCATAACTGTAATTTTGCTACTGTTATGAATCGTAATGTAAATATCTGATATGCAGGATGTATTTTCCCATGACCAACAGAAAATACTGGAAGGGGTTGGTGGGCATTGACCTTTAATTTCGGAGTTGTAGTTCACCTACATCCAGAGAGCACTGTGGACTCAAACAACGATGGATCTGGACCAAACTTGGCACGAATATTCAATATTCCCAAATGTGAACACTGGTGGAATTTGGGTGAAATAGACCTTGACATTTGGGAGTTGTAGTTGCTCGGATTTCTAGTTCACCTACAATCAAAGAACAGTCTGTGTCCCACCAGAAACAAAGCAAAACAGAATTGTGCCAGACTTCCCACACAGAACCCCCATGACCAACAGACAATACTGTGTTTTCTGATAGCCTCACGACCCCCCCCCCCCAAGGGGTCCTGACCCCCAGGTTGAGAAACACTGCTCTAGAACATGCCCATATAGCCCGAAAAAACCTACAACAACCGAGACAAGAGTTCTTTCTCCCACCCTGGACATTATTCCACAGATAAATAAACCCCATTTTCTTAGTTTCCAACAGACCTCACAACTTCAGAGGATGCCTGCCATAGATGTAGGCGAAATGTCAGGAGAGAATGCCTATGGAACATGGCCATACAGCCCGGAAAACTCATAGCAACCCATTGTACTATGGATTATTTTGCATGCTGTAGCCAAGTGTATAGGTATGAATTCTTTGCTTTCAGAAGTATCCGTGGCATTCTTTCTCCCAAACCAGAGTAGCCCTTGAAAAACTGGAATGGCTTGGGTGTGCCTTGTTGTCAGCATTGATGATACAGAATGACCGCAAAGTTGTCCTCAACAAGGCTGGCTATTGCCTTTAGGGGCCTGTGCTTTTAAAGATTCTTCAGCTGCAAAATTCAACAGGTGGAGAAGCTGCCTCTGTTGAGATCCCTGGCCTTACGCAGCTGTGAAAGGCCCAGGCTGCTTGGGGAAGAAAGAAACCAAAAAGATGGCAGGATTACGCCTAAAACTAAATGTATATGTTTTTATGGCTGTAAACCGGGCTGAGTCCCTCGACGAGGTTGAGAAGCTCGGTATACAAAACTGTGAAATAAATAAATAAATAAATAAAACGATCCACTCGCTCCTGTTCAGCTCCTGGCAGAATTGATCCTGTGGCAAATTGAAAGAGACAGCCTGGCTCCTCTTTAAGCCGGCCTCACATAAACCGTTAGAGTTTGAGAGCCACCCAATTGCAAAACTATCTCGCGCTGGAGGGGGAAAGAGCTGTGCCTGTTTGGCGTGGGAGCACCAACACCTCCATCCTCGCAGCTGTATATCTTTCGTTTCAGTCGTCTCTTTGTAAACCGCAGCACTTGGCTGGCTGCAGGGCTGGAAGGCAAAGCCTTCTACTCACAGAATTTCAGATGATTTACAATTCTCTTTAAGGCTTCTGGTAGTTGAAACCCTGAAGGACCAAAGCCTGGGAAAGATTTAAATTATTCTTACTGTTTTAGGTGGCTTACATTGACTTTGTGTATGGCAGCTCAAGATCCGTGGATGTAGGGGAAGATCTATAAATCATTAATGTTTAAATAAAAAAAGTTAGCAGTTGCACAGAACTGTGAGTGAGTCCCAAGCAGGGCTAGTCCAGATACTGCAAAGTTGTGAGGTGACTTGGCATTCAGTATAGATAGGGCAGAATATAAATAAAGATTATTATTATTATTATTATTATTATTATTATTATTATTATTATTATTTGATACGCAACAAGATGAGTACACAGCAAACAAGATCACTATACAGGTTGTTGTATTGGATCACATGTCGGACACTTCCCAAGTATCTAGGACTATGTGATGTATTATTATTATTACATTATTATTATTATTATTATTATTATTATTATTATTATTAGAAACACAACAAGATGAGTCCACAGCAGACAAGATAATTCTGCTGGCTGTTGTATTGGATCACATGTCGGACGCTTGCCAAGTGTCTAGGACTATGTGATGTATTATTATTATTATTATTATTATTATTATTATTATTATTATTATTATTTGAAACACAACAAGATGAGTCCACAACAGATACTCTGTTGGCTGTTGAATTGGATCACACGTCGGACGCTTCCCAAGTGTCTAGGACTGTGTGATGTATCGCCGAATAATGTGTGCAGATCCCAGTAGGGTGGCCTTCTGCAGCTGGCAGATGGTAATTTTGTCAGCGCCAATTGTGTTTAAGTGCAGGCCAAGGTCTTTAGGCACTGCACCCAGTGTGCCGATCACCACTGGGACCACCTTTACTGGCTTGTGCCAGAGTCTTTGCAGTTCGATCTTTAAATCCTCATATCATGTCAGCTTTTCCAGTTGTTTCTCTGCAATCCTGCTGTCACCTGGGATTGTGACATCAACGATCCATACTTTGTTGTTTAACACGATTGTGAGGTCAGGAGTATTATGCTCCAAAACTCTGTCTGTCTGAATCCGGAACTCCCAGAGGAGTTTGGCGTGTTCATTCTCTGTAACTTTTTCCGGCTTGTGATCCCACCAGTTCTTTGTTGCAGGCAGATGGTATTTGTGGCACAGGTTCCAATGAATCATCTGAGCAATGGTGTTGTGCCTCTGCTTGTAGTCTGTCTGTGCGATCTTCTTGCAGCAGCTGAGGATGTGATCTATTGTTTTATCTGCTTCCTTGCAGCATCTACATTTGGGATCTGTCATTGACTTTTCAATTCTGGCTTTGATGACATTATTATTATTATTATTATTATTATTATTATTATTATTATTATTATTATTATTTGAAACACAACAAGATGAGTCCACAGCAGACAAGATCACTCTGCTAGCTGTTGTATTGGATCACACGTCGGACGCTCCCCAATTGTCTAGGACTGTGTGATGTATCGGTGAATAATGCGTGCAGATCCCAGTAAGGTGGCCTTTTGCAGCTTGTAGGTGGTAATTTTGTCAGCTCCGATTGTGTTTAAGTGCAGTCCAAGATCTTTAGGCACTGCACCCAGTGTGCCAATCACCACTGGGACCACTTTTATTGGCTTGTGCCAGAGTCTTTGCAGTTGGGTCTTTAATTCCTCATATCATTGTTGTTGTTGTTGTTGTTATTATTTGAAACACAAGATGAGTCCACAGCAGACCTGATCAGTCTATTATTATTATTATTATTATTATTATTATTATTATTAATATAATTATTGTACTATTATTACTATCATTATTATTATACTACATTTATACCCTGCCCTTCTGACCCCAGTGGGGGACTCAGGGCAACCTACAGACCATGGCATATAATGCTGCATTACACATATACAGTGTTCCCTTGCTACTTCGCGGTTCGCTTTTCGCAGACTCACTGTTTTGCGGGTTTTTGCCTCCTGACAATGATGGAGTGTGGAAGGGGCTTTCACCCTCCACCTGACCCCACCCGACCTCCAGGCTGAGAAACACTGCCTTATTATGAATTGTGTTGCCTGGAGGCTTCCAGGATAGGCTGTTAATTTACCCTTTTTGCCCACAAAAAGGACAGTCAAGGGAGTCTGGAAGGTCAGATAAGCCAAGAAAACAAACGATCCATACATGGTCCTGGGTGCATACTTTGTCCATTCCTGCTTTAAGACTTTCTAGCTTTGGATTTGGTGCTTAACCACTTTTTGCAATGTATCTTGGAATGGAAAGGAGATTCCATCTGAACATGAGGAAGAACTTCCTGACTGTGAGAACCGTTCAGCAGTGGAACTCTCTGCCCTGGAGTGTGGTGGAGGCTCCTTCTTTGGAAGCTTTTAAACAGAGGCTGGATGGCCATCTGTCAGGGGTGATTTGAATGCAGTATTCCTGCTTCTTGGCAGAATGGGGTTGGACTGGATGGCCCATGAGGTCTCTTCCAACTCTTTGATTCTATGATTCTGTTTCTTTTTATCCCCATCAAGGCGATGACCCAGCGAGAGGCTCAAAAGGCAGCAGATGCCCAGAGGGCCCTGGCCTCTGTGCAGTCAGAAGTACAAGTCCTGGGGAGTGAACTGGAGGCTGTCCGGCGAGAGAGGGACAACCTGAAGATGGAGATAAGCTTGGTTACGGTAATGAGGTTGGGGGCATCAATATGCAAATGATAATTTTGAAGCAGGGAGGAAAAACAACTTGCGATTGCTGAAGAATTCTCACTCAGTCACTAAAACACATTATTTTGATTCCTACAGCTTTTCCCCCCTTTTGTGATTCCTTAATTTTGACAGTGAAATAAACTTTTCCATTGTGGTTATTGAAGATGTCGAAGTCTCAGTTCTCCCTCAGAGGATAATTTATGTGTGGGTAGTATGGGCGCTTGTAGGAGTGAGGTTGATTTTTCGTGTGTTCCTGTGCATTTGAGACCTCCGGTGGCACAATGGGTTAAACCCTTGTGTCGGCAGGAGTGCTGACTGACGGGTCGACGGAGAGGGGGTTGAGCTCCCATCTGTCAGCTCCAGCTCAGGACGGTAAAACATCAAACATCCGGGCATCCCCTGGGCAATGTCTTTGCAGATGGCCATTCTCCATCGTGGTCAACTGTGAAGTTGCACATATGGTGTTTCCTGCGCATATGTCCCATGCATGTGCAGACAGCTTTGGAATCTTCTAGAAATACTTAGACACTTTTAGGCTGTAGCCCCGCCCACTCTCCCCATAGAGTATATATAGCCAGTGGGAGGGGCTACTGCCTCAGTTCCTTTCATCCGCTGCTATTGCAGCAGCTAAGGAATTTTTGCTCTTCTTTACCGGACTGCCTTGACTGTATTTGGACTCAGACTAGCCCACATTTGCCAGACTTCTCCAATCCTTGACTCGGACTGTTTGATCCACCTGACTTCTCCTTTGTCTAACTCGGACTGTTTCTCGATTGCCTGGCTTCTCCATTCCTGACCTTCTTGACTAAGTACTCTCATTTTTACCTCAAAATATGTTGGCTACCACTTCCTTTAAGAGATGTGACCTTGCCTAAAAATCATATCATATTAAAATTTTTGGAGATGGCTGAAGACTCTTTAGAGGATTAGGAGCCAAAGGTGGCATTTGGGAATAGCATGTTTTGCCTTTGTAGTGCCCCGCCTTGAGCCATAAGGAGGGGTAGGTAACAAATAATTTATTATTATTATTATTATTATTATTATTATTATTATTTTCATGTCAGGAGCGACTTGAGAAACTGCAAGTCGCTTCTGGTGTGGGAGAATTGGTCATCTGCAAGGACGTTGGCCAGGGACGCCCGGATGCTTCACCATCTTTGAGGGAGGTTTCTCTCATGTCCCCACATGGGGAGCTGGAGCTGATAGAGGGAGCTCATCTGCACTCTCCCTGGATTCGAACCTGCGACTTGTCAGTCTTCAGTCCTGCCGACACAAGGGTTTAACCCATTGTGCTACCGGGGACTCCACACTTTGAAATGCCATCTTGTTTCATCTGGATAAGCAGAAATGGAAGGTATTGCCCTCCCATGTTTTGAGATCTGTTCGAGGTGTAGGTCTTAGATTTTAATTATAATAATAATTATTATCACCACCACCATTGTATATGGGCTTCACTGCGCTCACACTGATGCACCTCCTTAACTTGAGGGTTTTCAGCTTCACATGGCAGGTATTTGAACTTGTGTACTCTTTGAGGACCTGGAGCGTATCGAGTCCACTAGAAATAGCACTAGAAATCTGAAAGTGAATTCTTTCTCTGTTGCTGTTATCTTTTTAGGCACGTTACGAAGCACAGAAGGTAAAGCTGGAGTCAGAATTGAAAGTGGCCTTAGAACAACGGGTGACAGAACGACTTGCCGAGGTTCACGAGGAGAGCTTGCGCCAGATGAGTGCCATGCGGGAGCAGCACAGGTGAAGGGAGTCCTCTCCATCTATGCACATAGGGCACCCTCAGTTCTTAAATGCTACCACCGGTAGTGAATTGTACTTCCTAAATCTCCCCACTTTCTTCTAGTGAAACAAGAAAAACATATTTCCCATGTATTCAGAACAAAACCTTGTTTTATTTGTTTATGACATTTATATGCTGCCCTTCTCACCACGAAGGGGACTCAGAGTGGCTTACAAGATATATATGTATACATACAATATATTATTAGTATAGTACAATATCAGTATTATTACTTACTACTTAGGAGATCYCTCGTAGTCTGAGTAGGATTTTCTTCCAAGATGGGTGTCCTGGCRGTGGGTCCATAGGTGACTGTGGAGCCCTATTCTTGATCTGCATCTTCTCCCACAGTGAGGGCATTGGTATCCAGGTGGAAGGTGGTCCCAGTCGGGGTTGGCTTGACGCGCCTTCCTCTTGGCACATTTCTCTCTTTCACCCTCCTTCTCGGTGGTGGCCCCTCGACTCTGGAACTCTCTCCCACTGGAGATCRGAACTGCCCCCTCCATTCTGTTGTTCAGAAAACGGGTGAAAACCTGGCTATGGGGTTTGGCTTTCAACGAGTGAATCAATATTTCTGTGATCGGATAGATGACAATGAATGATGGACAACGAATTCACTATGATGACTGACCATTGTTATTATGTGATTGCATTTTGCTATTATAACRTTTTAATTGAATATGTTATATGATGTTTTTAATGATTCTTTTGTGATTTTATTGTTGGAAACCGGCCCGAGTCTCCCRATAGAGGGGAGAAGACCGGTATACAAAATTGCTAAATAAATAAATAAATAAATTCRTGCCTCTTCAAATTCCACAGCACTGCTGGTCACAGCTGACCTCCAGTTAGAACRCTCRAGGGTCAGGGCTTCCCAGTTATTGGTGTCTATGCCAGAGTTTTTAATGTTGGCTTTGAGCCCACCTTTAAATCTCTTTTTTTGCCCATCAACATTCCGTTTCCTGTTCTTGAGTTTGGAGTAGAGTAGCTGCTTTGGGAGACTGTGATCGGGCATCTGGACAATGTGGCCGGTCCAGCAGAGTTGATGGCATAGGAGCATCACTGCAATGCTGGTGGTCTTTGCTTCTTCCAGCACGCTGACATTTGTCCACCTGTCTTCCCAAGGGATGTGCAGGATTGTTCAGAGAATGCCGATGGATTCTGACATCTGTAGACAGTCCACGTTTCGCAGGCGTATAGCAGGGCTGGGAGGACAATAGCTTTATAAACAAGCACCTTAGTCTCCCTACGGATGTCCCGGTCCTCAAACACTCTCTGCTTCATTCAAAAAAATGCTGCACTCGCAGAGCTCAGGCGGTGTTGTATTTCAGAGTCAATGTTGACTTCTGTGCCTCTGTGCACTTAGGGAAACTTCCATTCTTAGATGCTACCACCAGTAATGAGTTGTACTTCCTAATTGTTTCTTCTAGGGAAACAAGAAAAAAACATTTCCAATCTATTTGGAACAAAACCTTTTTTAGTTAATAAGGGCACATATTTGTTCCCAACTGTCAGAGACTGGGGGCAGAATTCAAGATGGCTTCCCTCATATTCCTACTTTCGGGCTACATTACAATATTGTTTTGTGGACAATGGTTTCCTTTCCTTGGCAGGAAGCAGCTCTTGGAGTTAAGCAGCCACCACGAGAAGGAGATGGCCAGCCAGCTGGCCCAGTTCAAGTCTGACCTGGCTGAGAGGGAGGATCGGCAGAGGCATCTCACTGCGGAGTATGAACACAGGTACATAACTTTGAGGAAACCAGGCACTTCTGGGGTATTGGAGAAGCCAGTTTGAAGATTGGGAGAAGGTAAAGACCTATTAAGAGAAGATAAATAGAGGAGGAACTGTTTCAAAATGTTGAAAAAAAAGATATTTTCTTTAAGATCGGAAACTTGGTAGAAAATATAAACCTATAAACTATAGCATCCTGGACACACCTGGTTGTGACTGACTTTGGAAGCTATTTAGAAGCCTGCCTGGTTATTGCTTGTATGGAGGAAAGACCAACATCAGAGTGAACTCATCAGAGAGGACAAGGTGGTTTAGATGAACCCATAGGTCTGATTTAGCTTCCTCTATTTCCATATATGGGAATGATCCTGGATCCATATTGCTTTATTTTGCAATTTTTCTTTTTTTACCCCAATATTTTTTTAAGGTCATATTCATACAAATCCAATTGTGAACTATATAAATGTGAATACAAGATAAAAAAAATAAGCGAATAAGCTTCGATAGAAAAAGGAGAAAAAGGGAAAAAGAGAAAAAAAAGAAAGGAGAGAAAATAATAAATAAATAAATAAATACGTACTGATTCATTTGATGACAATGTCACAAGGAAGGAGAAAAACACAAATAGACTGGTGTGGCGAAGGAGAGAGACTATTTTGTAATTAAAAACCTCTTTGCTGCCTTATACTGATTCAGTTTCTTCTTTTATATTGGCTGGGACTTTCTGTGTGCTGTTAAACCTTTGTGCTTTATGTCACAGTCAATGAAACACTTGTATATAACAAAGTAACACAGTTTATGTATAACTTCTGGCTCCAACACTTGTGGTTACATTTGTGTTTTGTTGCAATCTTGAGGCTTTCAGTCAGTATCATTTACTTGGTTTACTTTTCTGGATAAACTTTCAATGTTTCACATTCACAAACATGTTACTTGCTTTACACACTCTTGGCTGAATTATATTCTGACTCAGGCAACACTAGCCTTCTTTATGTTCCTTAAAACTCGAGCTCTATTTAACTAACTGCTTCTCTATATCAGAAGTCTTTAACACATCTTCATAACTGCTTATTTCTAATCAGGCACTCAAAAACCAACTCTCCTCTTCACACACAGATTCCTAACTGTCATTTTCAAACTCTCTCACTCTAACTGCCTCTTTCAGAACCTTGGCTCCGCCCCTTTGGAATGTTCAGCTCTCTCTCTCCAACTGTCATTTTGGCCTAGCAGCCTTTTCAAATCCTGGGCCTACGCTAATCTGCATATGACCAATCGGCTTCACATATGCAAATGAATCCTATCTCTGCTGTTGCTACCCTGTCTGTACCTATTCTTCCCTATCTGCCATATGTAAATATAGAGCTGTACACCAAAACTTTAACATAGAGTAGCAATTTCACTACAACTGGCAAATAGTAAAATAATATTTTAAAAAAGAAAAGATGAAAATATTAATATAAATACGTAGGATAGTCTTTTCTTTTATAAGAATTTGCTTTTTATAAAAAAATAATTGTAGTAATGAAGGGGAAAGGTGGAGAAAATCAAGTTTCAAATGTAATAAGGAACTATTTGGTATAGAGACCACCACCAAGCAGTAGATGGAAGTCAACTTGTAATAATGTATTGTCGAAGGCTTCCATGGCTGGAATCACTCAGTTCTTGTGGGTTTTTTCGGGCTATATGGCCATGTTCTAGAGGCATTTCTCCTGACGTTTTGCCTGCATCTATGGCAAGCATCCTCAGAGGTGAGGTCTGCTTGCCATAGATGCAGGCGAAACGTCAGGAGAAATGCCTCTAGAACATGGCCATATAGCCCGAAAAAACCCACAAGAACTGACAAATTGTAATATTTTGCAATTTTTCTGTCATGCTACTGAATTACGGTACTTTGATTCCACTTTAAACTGTCATGGCTTCATACTGTGGAATCTTGGGATTTATAGTTAGGCAGGGGGTCACCAGAGTACTCTGGTAGAGAATGCTAAGTTCTTCACCAAATGGCAAATTCCAAGATTTCCGAAGATGGGAATTAAAGTCGGACTGCCGTGCCATAATGGTGTGGCCTGAAAGAGACTTGCATTGAGATAAGGAGATTTATCTGAGATCACATTTCCTTCTACTTCAGCCCCCTCTTCTTCCAAATTGGTCATTGTTTTTAAACTCTGGGCATATCCTGTGTCATACAGCTTGCGGTATCTTTATTTTTGTCTCTACTCAGGGTCTCCAAGCAGGAAGAAGAGATTCGGGAGCTGCAGGTTAAACATCGGCGGCTAGAGGCACAGCGAGCTGAGATGGTGGGTCAGTTCCAGGCTATGATGCAAGCCCACTGGAATGAGGCCCTGCGCCTTTTTGCTGGCAGTGGTGCCTCCTTCCAGACCTGTGTGAAGCCCCAGCAGCAGGTGAGTGAACGAGTGAGTGCTTGCAGCCCCAGCAAACCACCTGAAAGTGTATATGTGACAGCAGTGGCATTATATATATGTATATGTATATAGAATCAGAATCATAGAGTTAGAAGAGAACTTGTGGGCTATCCAGTCCAACCCCATTCTGACAAGAAGCAGGAAAATCACATTCAAAGCACCCCTGACAGATGGCCATCCCTGACAGATGGAGCCTCCATCACACTCCAGGGCAGAGAGTTTCACTGCTGAAGTTCTTCCTAATGTTTAGGTGGAATCTCCTTTCCTGTAGTGTGAAGCTCTCTCTTCCTATATATATGTATATAAATAAAAATGTAATGTTCGTTTGTGGGATTAACATAACTCAAAAACCACTGGACAAATTGACACCAAATTTGGACACAAGACACCTAACAACCCAAGGTATGTTCTTTACTCAAAAAGAACTGATTTTGTCATTTGGGAGTTATAGTTACTGGAATTTATAGTTCACCTACAATCAAAGAGCATTCTGAACCCCACCAACGATGGAATTGAACCAAACTTGGCACATAGTTCTCCCATGACCAACAGAAAATACTGGAAGGGTTTGATGTGCAGTGTCTTTTGGTTTTGGAGTTGTAGTTCACCTACATCCAGAGAGCACTATGGACTCAAACAATGATGGGTCTTGACCAAACTCTAAACGAATACTCAATATGCCCAAATGTGAACACTGGTGGAGTTTGGGGAAAATAGAATCTTGACATTTGGGAGTTGTAGTTGCTGGGATTTGTAGTTCACCTACAATCACAGAGCATTCTGAACCCCACCAATGATAGAATTGGGCCAAACCTCCCACACAGAACCCCCATGACCACCAGAGTGGGCTACAGCAACGTGTGGCAGGGATGTTATCTATATAAATAAAAATGCAATGTTTGTTTGTGGGATTAAAATAACTCAAAAACCACTGGACGAATTGACACCAAATTTGGACACAATACACCAATCAGGCCAACAAGTGACCATCACTCATAAAAACACTGAAAAACACAGCAGAAGGGACTTAAAAACCAAAAAAAAAAACCCCACCAGCATGTGCAAAAACAACTCCCCCAGCAAACAAAACACACAATAGCATATCCACACTCTCTTCCGGACTACAGCTCCCAGCATCTCCCAGACCAGCCCCTTTAGGAGAGGAGGATGATCCAAATGCACTGCTTCTTCTCCTTGGATCTCTTTGAGAGCATCCCAATCCCTGCATATTTCCAATTTCCTATTCCTGGACTGCAACTCCCAGCAATCTCCCAGATTGGTAAGAGAGATTAGATAGAGATAGGTAGGCAGATAGATACATCGATCAAGAGGACTTCTGGGAGTTGCAGTCCAAGAATAGGTAGAGAAGGAAGAAAGGGGAGAAAGAGGCAGGGAAAGAAAAGGGAAGAGAAGAGGAAGAGAAGGAAGGAGAGAAGGAAAAAAAGGGAAGGAAGGAGAGAAAGAGAAAGAGGGAGGAAAGATTCGCCACAGCAACGTGTGGCAGGTACAGCTAGTATATAATAATATTATTGTACTGGATTGGAAGAGATGGTTTCCATGAGCTGCTTAGCTATTTTTTTTTACTTCTTGACTTCCCCTGACAGGATAACCCCTCAGTTCCAGACCCCACCGTAGACCCAGAACGTCTGCCACCTTCAGAAGCTCTGAAGAAGATGCAAAAAGTGGACTTTTTTGAGAATAGCCAGAAGGCAGAAGACAGCAAAGGGTCACCCTGGACCCAGGCGGTCCCCCTCCAGCCTGTCACCCAGCGCAGCAAGTCCCAGGGGCCTCCCGAAGCCCCCGAAAAGTCAATTCTGGACCCTTACCAGCATTTTCTCCATGCCTTTCCTGACATGGGTCGTCTCTCCTCAGAATTCAGCCACATTTTCAACTACAGCCTTCTTAGCCCACAGGGCTTCCAGCAGCTGGAACCCCAGGCGGACACCACTGTGGCAGGCCCAGGTATGCATCTGCCACATGAATATCTATGGAGAGGGTTATCATATCTTCTCAGGGTCTTGGCGTCTTCAGGTTAAACTGACCCAACTCCCCTCAACAATTCCTACTGAGCTCGATTTCTATCCTTTTGGGTCACTTTCTTCTGAACATCTTGTCAATACCCTTCTTAGCCTCAGCCTCCCCCATTTTCCTTCATTGTTTTTATGCGTGTGCTCCTCCTTTTAGGTCTGACCTTCCACCCTGAGAACCTTGCAGAGCATCCATTCACCGATGACACAGATGAGACCCTCACGGAGGGGGCTGGCATGGAGGGGGAGGCTTCCCACCGCAACAGCTCCGAGAGTGGCATTCAAGTGCCCCCGTATGACTTAAATCACTACATACGCCTGGTAAGGCTTCCTGTTCCTTTTTTTTACTGGCCCACTGAGGGAGAGGGGTATGTAATTTTTGTTGGATGGGGATATTTGAAAGGGGATCCTTCAAGTTGTAAATATAATATTAACAGATTCTGATGTGTTATGTGCATAGAAAAAGAATAAGACTGCAGGAGGAGTCCTGACAGGAAGGATAGACAATCAATCTGCAAACACTTAGAAATGAATGCGGTCATTGCTAATAGTCAACACGGATTTATCAAAAACCCGTTATGCCAGACTAATCTGATCTCTTTTTCAATAGAGCAGTGTTTCTCAACCTTCCTAATGCCATGACCCCTTAATACAGTTCCTCATGTTGTGGTGACCCCCCCAATCATAACATTATTTTTGTTGCTACTTCACAACTGTAATTCTGCTACTGTTATGGATCATAATGTAAATATCTGATATACAGGATGTATTTTCATTCACCGGACAAAATTTGGCACAAATACCTGATACACCCAAATTTGAATAGTGGTGGGGTTGAGGGGATTAATTTTGTCATTTGGGGGTTGTAATTGCTGGGCTTTATAGTTCACCTACAATCAAAGAGCATTCTGAACTCCACCAACAATGGAATTGAACCAAACTTGGCACACAGAACTCCCATGACCATCAGAAAATACTGGAAGGTTTGGTGGGCATTGACCTTGAGTTTTGGAGTTGTAGTTCACCTCCATCCAGAGAGCACTATGGACTCGAACAATGATAGCTCTGGACCAAATTTGGCACAAATGCTCAAATGTGAACACTGGTGGAGTTTTGGGGAAACAGACCTTGACATTTGGGCGTTGTATTTGCTGGGATTTATAGTTCACCTACAATCAAAGAGCATTCTGAACCCCACCAACGATAGAAGTGGGCCAAACTTCACACATAGAATCCCCGTGAGCAACAGAAAATACTGTGTTTCCTGATAGTCTTTGGCGACCCCTCTGACACCTCCTCACAACCCCCTCAGGGGTCCCGACCCCCAGGTTGAGAAGCGCTGCAATAGAGTTACACGCTGGGTAGATGCAGGGAACAAATACAAAAAACTGCGGATTGCAAATCACAATTTCTATATTACAGGAAAATCTTCATGAGATTTCAGTTTCCAAAGTAACAATTTCTATGTTGTAAAAGGTTTTTCATCAATACATAATGTTTACAACATAGAAACTGTTACTTTGGAAACTGAAATTTCATTATATTCTAAAAACATTGACAAGCAAGGTGTGAGGGGATGTCACAGGGAAGAGAAAGCAAGCTTCCTTTCTGCTGCCCTGGAGACTAGGACACAATGGAACACTGGCTTCAAACTACAGGAAAGGAGATTCCACCTGAACATGAGGAAGAACTTCCTGACTGTGAGAGCTGTTCAGCAGTGGAACTCTCTGCCCCCAGAATATGGCGGAGGCTCCTCCTTTGGAGGCTTTGAAACAGAGGCTGGATGGCCATCTGTCAGGGGTGATTTGAATGCAATTTCCCTGCTTCTTGGCAGAATGGGGTTGGACTGGATGGCCCATGAGGTCTCTTCCAACTCTAGGATTCTATGATTCTAAGTGTCTTGTTTGGGAAATGAGTGCATTTTGTGACCAAGAATAATATTTTGCCACATCAACTAAAATGTATGGGATTACAGCTAAATGGAACCTTTTATGTGACTAAGGAGCATAATCCACATCATACGCAGTCCATGAGTGCTGCAGAATGATATCTGCAAAAAGGACAAGATTTTGTTTTTAGTTTTGATTCTCTGAAAACACGCAAGGGCTTAAAGTAACGGCACTTAAATACTAAGATCTAGATACTTTCTACAGTTACAGAAACCTTTCATCATGACTCATGCAATGTTTGAGTGATGTGTTATCCTCATAATCTTCCATTTGCTTTTGCGCTCTTATGTAGGAGAGTGGTCTTTATTTCTAAGTATGGAAAAGACAAGCTGTAGTAAGTTTTAAGGAACTGTAATGTTTTCACTTCTCAACAGAACGTATTCTTTAAAAGGATTATTCTGATGGGGGGATTAAAAAGATTTTTGAAGACAGTGCTTATTCATGCTGAGGTTTTAGCTATTCGTCACTATTTCAGGAAACATAGTTTCAAGAATCATAGAATCATAGAATCCTAGAGTTGGAAGAGACCTCGTGGGCCATCTAGTCCAACCCCCTGCCAAGAAGCAGGAAAATCGCATTCAAAGCACCCCCGACAGATGGCCATTCAGCCTCTGTTTAAAAGCCTCCAAAGAAGGAGCCTCCACCACACTCCGGGGCAGAGAGTGCTGCTGAACAGCTCTCACAGTCAGGAAGTTCTTCCTAATGTTCAGGTGGAATCTCCTTTCCTGTATTTTGATATCATTGCTCAGTGTCCTAGTCTCCAGGGCAGCAGAAAACAAGCTTGCTCCCTCCTCCCTATGACTTCCTCTCACATCTCAATCCATGGCCCTCATCTTGTCTCCTCTCATCCTCCTCTTCTTCATGCTAAACATGCCCAGCTCTTTAAGCCGCTCCTCATAGAGCTTGTTCTCCAGACCCTTGATCCTTTGAGTCACCCTCCTCTTGACACATTCCAGCTTGTCAACATCTCCCTTCAATTGTGGTGCCCAGAATTGGACAGTGTGATTCCAGATGTTAACTTTTTTTTGTTGACGTGTCAGAAACGATTTGAGAAATTGCAAGTCGCTTCTGGTGTGAGAGAATTAGCCATCTGCAAGGATGTTGCCCAGGGGACGCCCGGATGTTTTGATATTTTTACCATCCTTGTGGGAGGCTTCTCTCATATCCCCACTTAAGGAGCTGGAGCTGATAGAGGGAGCTCACCCGTGCTCTCCCTGGATTCGAACCTGCGACCTGTTGGTCTTCACTCCTGCCAGCACAAGGGTTTAGCCCACTGCACCACTGGGGGCTCCATGTAGATGTGAACTGACTAAGTCAGAATAGAGGGGTAGCATGACTTCCCTGGATCTAGGCACTATGCTACTATTGATGCAGGCCAAAATCCCATTGGCTTTTTTTTGGGTGGCTCTGGATATCTGCAACTTACTTCTCAATGGTGGGGATTCCAGATAGCCAGATGTTGGGTGTTTGCTGATGTAGTGAGTAAGAAAGGTCACACAAGGTCTAATTTTCTGCTTCCATGATTTCCAGCTTTGGGACCACTCTGTGAATGAAAGTGGTGCTCAGAAACAGGAAGGTTTTTCCATGGTCAACCCAACAGAAACTACAAACCAGACACAGTTTGGTAAGAGTGGGCACAATCCCTCCCTCTTTTCTCTCAATGGGAGATTTGCTGTCGTTCTATAATACAGGAGTCAGATTAAGGTCAGATTAAGTAGTAGTGGACTTTTGGTCCACTACTACCAAAAGTGGCCTTTTCAGGTTTATTTTTTTAAATTAGATGTAACTGGAATTTAATTTCTGCCACCGTCGCAACCACAGTTGGTGGGGATAAGGGAGAGGGCCTTCCCGGTGGTGGCTCCCCAACTTTGGAACTCACTCCCAAGAGCAATTAGGTAAGCCCCCACACTCTCCTCCTTTCGTAGGAACCTGAAAACCTGGATGTTCCAGTGGGTTTTTGAGAATGATTAACCCCTAGGCCAGTGGTTCTCAACCTTCCTAATGCTGCAACCCTTTAATACAGAGATAGAGTGGTATATAAATAAAGTTTTGTTGTTGTTGTTGGAAACTAGGAAAATTGGGTTTATATATCTGTGGAGTAATGTCCAAGGTGGGAGAAAGAACTCTTGTCTGTTGGAGGGAGGTGTCAATATTTCAATTGGCCGCCTTCATTAGCATTTAATGGCCTAGCAGTTTTCAAAGTGTGGCTTCTTACTGCCTGGGGGGGATCCTTTGTTGGGAGGTGATGAGCTGTTCCTGATTGTTTTTTGTCTGGAGTTCCCCTGTTTTTGAATATTGTTATTTATTTACTGTTATGATTTTAGAGGTTTTTTTAATACTGGTAGCCAGATTTTGTTCATTTTCATGGCTTCATCCTTTCTGTTGAAATTGTCCACATGCTTGTGGATTTCGGAGAGTAGTCACACAACTTCATGCTATTGCTCCCTCAGCGTTCTTGTCCCAGGAGTTTCTCCCCCCCCCCCCCCCACACGTAGTTTTGTTTATGATCCCGTCTCTCCGTGAGTTCTCCCTACAATTAGTTTTACCCCTTTATCTCACCCTGAGTTTTTAAATCATTTTATGTACATGTTCTTTGTCTCTATGTTTGGTTTATATGTTTTATGTATATTGTTTATATCCTTTGATTTTTTTAAAAAAATGTTATGTTGTTTATTTTATTGCAATTTTGTATTTTTTGTATTGTAATTTGTTGTTCGGGCTTGGCCCCATATAAGCCGCTCCGAGTCCTCGTTGGGGGAGATGGAGGCGGGGTATAAATAAAGTTTATTATTATTATTGTTGTTGTTGTTGTTATTATTTCAAGGGCTTCTCTGTATAGTCTGACATAGTAGTTGTGAGAGTGGTCCAGCATTTCTGTCTTCTCAAATAATACACTGTGTCCAGGTTGGTTCATCTGTGCTCTGCTATGGCTGACTTCTCTGGTTGAAGTAGTCTGCAGTGCCTTTCATGTTCTGATTCGTGTTTGGGAAATGCTGCTGCGTTTGGTGGTCCCTATGTAGACTTGCCCACAGCTGCATGGCATATGGTAGGCTCCTGCAGAGGTGAGAGGACCCCTCTTGTCCTTTGCTGAATGTAGCATTTGTTGCAAACGAAACGTCAGGAGAGAACGCTTCTGGAACATGGCCATACAGCCCGAAAAACTTACAGCAACACTGTTGAGATTAATTTCACAATTCAGCAGCAGATCAGTTGCACAACTTCAGCGCTTTCCAGTAGCTTCTTCCTGCACAGTATTTTCAGTCAACTGCTCCCACAAACTGCAGTCACTCTGGAACTCTTTTACAGACACTTGAGCACATGCCCGGCCATTTTACCATTGTCTTTCCCCCAGTCTAGATGACATTACAAACTTACCACAGCACACAGTTATATCTTGTCTTAGCAGACAGGTTCTTTTAATCAATTACATAGAGCCTTCGACGAAACAACATCACAGCACAAGGAGAGAAATATACACTGTACATGACTTCCTTATATACAATTCTATACAATTACACATAGCAATCTCTGATTGGTTCCCAACTCATTAACTTAACTCAGACCCAGGATTACATCATTCACAATCACCTGGACTAGGCCAGAACACATTCCCCAAATGATTCCCTATATACAGTTAATGCATGACTCAGCATTTCCAATAGAAGCCTATTAGCAGTGCATGACTCAGCTATATTACATTACAATACATTGTAAAACCATTATTCCGAAAACCTTGGGGAACATCAAGATTAATTGTGATGTTTGGACTCTCAGACTTTGCCTGAAATCTTTCCCTGACTTTTCCTCCCAGGGACATCCCTGTCTTACCGTGAACGGTCCACAGCTCTCTGGGATCAAGCTCAGCCCAGTACCATTCGCATTCAGCCACCCAGCAATGCTGCTGTCCACAAAACCAAAGTGCCTTTGCCCAGAACTGGGCCAGTCTGCCCAAGTCAGGAACCAGCCAGCCCCCTGAAGCAGAAGCCTGGTATGTCTCCAGCTCACGAGTGACTGCGGACATTTCTAGCACAAGCTTTTTTGTTGGCTGGGTTTGACCAAAGCCCTATCTTTTTCTCCTTTATTTTCCACAGTCCAAGAAAGTGGGATCCTGTCTCCAAGGCAGGTGGCTGAAGTCTCGCGCCTGCTGAAGCAATGCCAGGCCAAAGGAAGGCCTGTGCCTTCAACTGGGGATCTGTATAACTATTTGCGTGGGATAAGCCAGAATGGGTGAGGCTCAGTTTCAGGGATTTCTGAACCGAGGCATAGTCTGTTTTGCTCAGGGCCCCTCAAGAGGTGCTGCCATCACTAGGTAAAGTTGGGAAAGGTGTTGGTTCTATTCCCATTTTGATTTAAAACCTGTTTTTTGGAGGAGAATTCTTAGATTTGAGGGGGTAGGATATCTGGATTTTTTTTCTGTGGTGCCATCTTTTTGTTCCTTTTATCTGCAGGACAGAAATGAAAAACGATGGAAATCTGCAAGCCAGGAGGAACTTGGATTCAAAATTAACAGAAACAATGAGGAAGGAGGTATGTTTGTTAACTCAAAAGATAAGGGATGGGTCTGATCCCTGCAGCAAAGTTGGACCTAAACTTTTCTAAATAGCCAGAGGATAGGAACATTTATTTATTTATTTATTACATTTATATGCCACCCTTCTCACCCCAAAGGGGACTCATAAGATATATATACATACAATATATTATATTATTAGCATACTACAATATAAGTATTAAATATTACTATATTGTATTATACCATTATATTGTACTATTATTAGGAATATTACATGTAATATAAATATATATAATTATAATTTATTATTAGTATTATATTGTATTACATTATAATATTATAAATATTGTATGTGTATACAATATATTATATTACATTGTAGTATAGTATATTATTAGCATAGCACAGGATACAAGGTGGAACTGTCTTCTGCCTCCCCCTCTTTACTCCGGCCCAGAGCAGCAGTTGGTGCAGGGGGGAGGGGTCCCCAACTGATGACATATGCAGGAGAAAAGGTGGAATTGTCCCCCGGCCCCCTCTCTCTTCACTCTGGCCCAGAATGGCAGTTGATGCTGGGGGGAGGGGTCGCCAATTGATGGCATATTCTGGAGACAAGGTGGAACTATCCCCTGGCCCCCTCTCTCTTCACTCTGGCCCAGAGTGGCAGTTGATACTGGGAGGAGGGTTTCCCCATTGATGACATATGCAGGAGATAAGATGGAACTGTCCCCTGGCCCCCTCTCTCTTCACTCTGGCCCAGAGCGGCAGTTGGTGCAGGGGGGAGGGGTCCCCAATTGATGACATATTCAGGAGACAAGATGGAACTGTCCCCTGGCCCCTCTCTCTTCACTTTGTCCCAGAGCAGCGGTTGGTGCAGGGGGGAGGGGTTCCCAATGACATATGCAGGAGACAAGATGGAACTGTCCCCTGGCCCCCTCTCTCTTCACTCTGGCCCAGAGCAGCAGTTGGTGCTAGGGGGAGGGGTCCCCAGCTGGTGACATAGGCAGGAGACAAGATGGAACTGTCTTCTGGCCCCAGCTTCTCATGCGAGGAGTTCAGCTGTGCTTCATGGAAGGAAACGTGAGTCAAGAGTGACCTTCCTTCCCACATCTGTCTTTTTTTTTGCAGGCAGTCCCTGTGCGACGCTCAGTCTCCTCAGGATCTGGCCGCGAGAAGTCCCAGGCCAGTGCCAAAACCGTGAGGAAACAGTCTGGAGGTGCACCACCCTCCAACCCTCGCTTCAGCAGAGGCAGTGGAGGTATATGGAGATGATCTTGATCTTGGACTACTTCCTCCTTAGGCCAGTTTGCGTCTTCTGGCCAGTGGGTTTGTGAGCTTTGTTGTAAAAGTTTGCTCTTACTTTGCACAGTTCATTATTTTTATATGATTTTCATTTTCTAAATAAAATGAGGTTGAGTTATTTCTAAGGAATGGCTCATGATGGACTTTCTTAAGGATGCCTCTCTTTCTCTTCATCTGCTTTGTTCACTGCTATCCTTTTTTTCATCTTTTAAAATTAAGATATTCCATAAAATAAAATAAACAAAACAGAAACATATAAGGCCACATCGTCACAACATCATAACATTGTCTGCTCACTGCTTCACCTCAAAAATATAACTCACAAAAAAATTACTTCCGTTCAACCTTCTTAAGCTATTCAATTGATTTATGTTACCATTATTACGTTTTTCTCTCCTGCATTGTCTTTTGTTATTGACCATCATTTTTCATATAGTCCTCAAGAACCTTCCTGTCTGTCCTTTTCATTCCTTTTCTGTTGTTTTGTCTCAACCAAAAAGACAGTTCATCCATATCTTTAATTTACATTATTTTGTCCAACCATTGTATCTTTAGAGGGATCGTTTCTTGTTTCCAAGATTTAGCAAAATTAATTCTAGCCTCTGCCGCAAAATACATGAATAATTTCTCAACATTAACATCTTGAAATATATCTGATTCAAACATTCCTAATAAATACATTTCTGATTTCATTGGGAAATTAATATTTTAAATATTAAATATAGTTCACTGCTATCCTTGAAATGCACAAAAGCTAACTCCCTCTCCCTTGGTTTCTTCTACTCTGATTCTGTAGTCATAATAATAATAATAATAATAAACTTTATTAAAAACCCTGCCACCATCTCCCCGATGGGGACTTGGAGCAGCTTACATGGGGCCAAGACCGAACATCAAAATATTACATCAAAATAAAACCAAAACATAAACAACAAGCAACATCATCAAAATTACATGAAAAAAATACAATAACAAAATTACATTACAATAAACAAAAAACACAGTCACAGTAACAGTGGGTGGGCTACATGTACAGGATAAAATGTTAAAAACTCTAATGAGATAAAAATGGGAGCAAGATATTTGCAGGGAGCTCATAAAGACAAACAGGGGGAGGGCGTGTACTCCAGTGACAGAAGCGTTGAGGGGAACAATAGTATCGTGTTGTGCACTTACTCGCCAAAGTTGAGGCGGAAGAGCCAGGTTTTAAGGTCCTTTTTAAATGTTTCTAGTGTAGGGACTTTCTTGATCTCTCCAGGTAATGAGTTCCAGAGTTGGGGAGCCACAGAGGAGAAGGCTCTCTTCCTTGTGCCCACAAGACGAGCCTGTGAGATTGGCAGGGGCGAAAGGAGGGCCTACCCCGAAGATCGAAGGGCCCGGATTGGTTCATGGAGAGAGATACAGTCATCCCCTCAAATATATTGTGGCTTATAAAGGTCAATCTCTCTTTCCTTGAGCAAAGTTCCACTGAAATGTTTTGAAGATACAACTTGTTTGTTCAGTTTGTGAGGCCAAATGTGAAATTTAGTCTCCCTTCTCCACTTCTGCTTCTCTCCAAACTTACATCAAACACACACCTTATCCTACCCATAACCCATGTGAACACAACTCAAGTGTACACAACTCTCAAAAGTACACCCAGGGTCAATGCACACTTTCCTCCACACATGGACATTAGTGAAAAAAACAACAACATTGGAGCATATGGGACAAGACTTTCCTGATGTCCTCTTTGTGACTGCAAAAACAGCTGTTCTGCAAATCTTGCTCAGCATCTTTCCTTCCACTTTCTTCACCGATCTGGACCATAATTGTTTTTGAGCTCTTGAGAGTTTGAGAGGAAAGCTCTGTGCCGTCATCTGAGCCGAAATAGCTCCCTTTTGAAAAATGTGCAGCAGCTGTGTGAAAACAATGGTAGAAAGAATAAAATATTTGTACTCCACAGTCTTTGGTCTTTGATAACAAGTTTTAGAGCTTTTCTCTCCAGAACAGACTACAAAATCTCTGCTAACAGACATCATCCACCCTTTTATTTCTGGGAAATCTTCTTATAGCGAATGCCACTTATGTGAAATCTTGTGGCTTTCTGTTTTTAATGGCTTTCCCCCCAGACTTTCCTAAAATATAATAGAATCCAATCCCCTTTGAAACACTTTTATCTTGAAAAGGATAGAAACAGAAGAGTCTCAGCAAATTGCTTTCAGTGACAAGAACCCTCTGGGTATTGCTTCGCCCATGTTTATGGATTTAACTGTTTGTAAGCCAAGCTCTAAAGCAGAGATGGGCAAACTTTGGGCCCCCAGGTGTTTTGGACTTCAACTCCCACTATTCCTAACAGTCTCAGGCCCTTTCCTTTTCCCCCTCAGCCGCTTAAGCGGCTGAGGGGGAAAAGGAAGGGGCCTGAGGCTGTTAGGAATGGTGGGAGTTGGAGTCCAAAACACCTGGGGGCCCAAAGTTTGCCCACATGTGCTCTAAAGTGTCAGCAACATGCTCCGACCTCCCAAACCTGGTCCCTAGAAAAGATCCCCCAAAAATCTTCTCCCTTTTCTGTCTGTGCCTTTTCTATGTTCTATCTGCACTTGTTTCCACTAACTTACCTCTTACATGTTTACTTCCTCCATTTGGCAATTTCAACACAAAAAACTCATATTTGTGTCTTAAGATGGGCAGCTTGAACATCCTCTTGAGTTTGATGGTCCTTGAACTCTTCTCCTTGCTGTGTCCTCCTGCTGCTGTGGAGAAAGCAAGAAGCATTCATTTGTATGTGTTATGCTTTTTTTAAAGGTACCTGGTTTCCAATGCTCTTCCTTTCCTTGGTGTCTCCATTCCATCTCAAGTCTGTTAGACCTTCCTCAAATTGGTGCCCAGTGAGCTTCTAATGGGTTTTATTTATTTCGTATCAAAAGCATTGCATAAATTAGTATAAAACCGATAAAAATAGAAGGAGCACAGGTGGCTAAATATCTTTTGATCAAAAACGGGCAACAACAATGGCATTGTCTGTAGCCTCCAACAATTCTTCCTCTGTGCATGAGGCAGGGCAGAGTGGACGAGCATACAGATGCGGAGTTGTCTTTTCTGCTCCACAAGTCACATAAGGTGTGGGATTCTTTTAGGTAGTGCCATCTTCCCAGGTTGTCTTCTGATCTGCCCACTGCCCTTCTGAGTCTGTTCAGGGACTTCCAAGTTGCCCATTCTTGGTTTGCCCCTGGAGGAAGACCCTCATGGGGGGCAGGCATACAATTGGGGTTTCCTGGTTTAGCTGCTCAGAGGGATACCATTGCTGTTGCTGGGGGGACGCCAAGAGGAGTGGTAGTTCTCATTAAGCTTTTCCTTGATTTGAGTCTACTGGGAGGAGGCTGGTAGCCATGCAGTGGGTGACTTTCACAGTGTTCAACCTTATTTCTCTCACATGTAGCAGCAACTTCCCGTCACACATCGAGGGGGGGGGGGGCAATGCCAGCTAGCTTGTAGAGTTTATCAACAGGTGTAGGTTTAAGGCATCCTGTGATTATTCTGCATGTTTCATTCAATGCTCTGTTCACCTGCTTTGCATGGGCAGACCTATGCCAAACTGGGCAGGCATACTCGCCTTATGCGGACTCACTGTTTTGCGGTTTTTTTAAAAAATAATGCATTTTTTTACAAATATGAATTTATTGGTGCTGGTGGGCCACTACCTTTGACGAGCCCTCTGTGGCTGCCTTCTCTTCTCCCATCTGTGCCAGGTTTGGCTTCCCCACATTGCCTTTTCGGGGCTGCCCGAGGCCTCTGCAGGCCTCCAGAGGCCGGCCCTGGCCAATCCAGGGGTGGGGAGGGGTCTGCTGCTGGTTGGGCAGCAGCCAAGCAGTGGGAAACTTCCTGCCGCGCAGGGGGCTTCCAGGAAAAAGAAGCCCCCTGCAATCAGCATGGCCAGCAGGAGGGTGCCCAAGGCATTTCTGATTTTAAAATGACAAAATGTATAAAAATATATTAGAAATATTAATTCTATCACTAAAATAATATTATAAATAATTAAAAAATTACGATTTACAGTAAATAGGATTGTAAATACCGTATCTATCTATCTATCTATCTATCTATCTATCTATCTAATTATTTAAATAATAAATAAAAATGTAATGTTCGTTTGTGGGATTAACATAACTCAAAAACCACTGTACGAATTGACACCAAATTTGGACACAATACATCTGTCAGGCCAACAAGTGACCATCACTCATAAAACACTGAAAAACACAGCAGAAGGGACTTAAAAAGCCAAAAAAAAGGGGCAAAAGACGATATAGCACATGTGCAAAATGACTCCCCCAGCAAACAAAACACACAATAGCATATCCACACACTCTTCTGGACTACAGCTCCCAGCATCCCCTAGACCAGGCCCTTGAGGAGAGGAGGATGATCCAAATGCACTACTTCCAAGATGCAAGCTTTCTTCTCCTTGAATTTCTTTGAGACCATCCCAATCCCTGCATATTTCCAATTTCTTATTCCTGGACTGCAACTCCCAAAAATCCTCCTGACAGATTAGATAGATAGGATAGGTAGGTAGATAGGATTACAGGGCTGCTGGGAGTTGCAGTGCAAGAATAGGTAGAGAAGGAAGAAAGGGAGAAAAGAGAAGGGAAAAGAAAAGGGGGGAAGGAAAGGAAGAGGAAGAGAGAAGGAAGGAAGGAGAAGGAAGAAGGAAGGAGAAGGAAGGAAGGAAGGAAGGAAGGAAGGAAGGAGAGATAAAGAAGGAGAGAAAAAGAAGGAGAGAAAAAGGGAGGGAAGGTTGGCCACAGCAACGTGTGGCAGGTAAATCTAGTGTGTGTGTGTATAGTCCCTACTTCGTGGTTTTTCACTTATTACGGGTGGTCCTGGAACGTAACCCCTGCGATAAGTGAGGTAACACTGTACCCAGTCTCTCAGAGTCCCATCCCTTCTCACTCATGGACTCCCAACTTCACACTTGATTTGCACTATCCTTTGCTTTGTACACATCCCCATTTGTGGGTGCTCATCCTCTCATCTCCGTGCCCTTGCCATATCTGGACTCCCCAAGCCAGCGAACTACAAAACCCCTGGTTCCTTGGACACATGGCTGTCTTCCCTTCCCTTCCACCTCCGCTTCTCTTCTTCCCCCTCCTCCTCCTCCACAAAGTCTTAATCTGATTAGCTGTTAAGAGACAGCAAACATGGATTACAGGTTTAAAAAAACAACATCCCTCCCCTTGCTGAGCCCCCCCCCCCCTTCCCACAGCAGTACCAACCCAACCACTTGCAAACACCCCGGTCTATAGCTCTGGAGTGCTGCTCTTGGATCCGAGGGGGACCCTGCGCCCAGTGGCCGACAGTGACCCCTGTTCCCTGTGTCCTGCAGGGAATTCCGGGGGGGACGGAAGGAGCTCTGTGGTGCGGGACAACCCCCTCCCCTCATTTCTCCAAGCCAGTGGCCCTCAATGGCTGATGGATGCTTGGGCTGACTTTCCACCTTTGGCTTTGGGTTCTTCATCTCTCCTTCAGCGGATTTCTGGTTTTATTTTGCAAGAACCATCCCACTGGATTTAGCAACTGGAATATTTTTGGGAGTGATCACTGAAAGTAGTTTGCGGAGGAGATCTTGGTAAGAACATAGCGTTGCTGTAGTTTAGCAGATATAGGCGTTTGTCATTGTATGGTGGCCGCAAAGTTGTGGTGAATCCACAATATTCTGTGGTTCAGACTTACAGTTTTGACCTAGTGCAGTGTTTCTCAACCTGGGGGTCGGGACCCCTGGGGGGGGGTCGCAAGGGGGTGTTAGAGGGGTCGCCAAAGACCATCAGAAAACACTATTTTCTTTTAGTCATGGGGTTTCTGTGTGGGAATTTTGGTCCAATTTTATCATTGGTCGAGTTCAGAATGACTTTTGATTGTAGGTGAACTATAAATCCCAGCAACTACAACTCCCAAATGTCAAGGTCTATTTTCCCCCAAACTCCACCAGTGTTCACATTTGGGTACGTTGAGTATTCATGCCAGGTTTGGTCCAGATCCATGATTGTTTGAGTTCAGAGTGCTCTCTGGATGTAGGTGAACTACAACTCCCAAACTCAAGGTCAATGCCCACCAAACCCTTCCAGAATTTTCTGTTGGTCATGGGAGTCCTATGTGCCAAGATTGGTTCAATTCCATCGTTGGTGGGGTTCAGAATGCTCTTTGATTGTAGGTGAACTGTAAATCCCAGGAACTACAAATCCCCAATGACAAAATCAATCCCCTCTCCCAACCCCATCATTATTCAAATTTGGGTGTATCGGGTATTTGTGCCAAAATTGTTCCAGTGAATGAAAATACACCTTGCATATCAGATATTTACATTACGATTCATAACAGTAGCAAAATTTCAGTTATGAAGTAGCAACGAACATAATGTTATGCTTGGGGGTCACCACCACATAAGGAACTGTATTAAGGGGCCGCGGCATTAGGAAGGTTGAGAACCACTGACCTAGTGGGTTAAACAAACCAGAGAAAGCACTGGTTCTTGGATGCTTCAACCTTGGAGCAGACAAAACTTTGGTCAAGGGAAAACAGGAACTGGGAGACCTCATATTCTTTTTCTTGACAACCAGTATTAACTATTTATCCAGACTTGGCTTCCTTGTAGGCACATTCATTTAATGTACCAACTGCGATCAGTTAAAATAAAATGATGTGTATGTATTGAGGAAGGTTGGGTTTTTGAATAACCTCAATAAGTATGTGTTGATTTGGGGACTGGCCAAGTAACGGGATAGTTACTGGATATGAAGACTTCTGGCTGAATGGGAAGAGAGGAAATCTGTGAGAATGACGGAATCTTGGTAATGGTAGAATAGAAATAGGGTTGATGGAGGAAGGTAGGTGAGATAATATGATATATATATATGTGTGTGTATATACACACACACACTTTTGTATCCTAATCTTCTCTGCCTCCATAGAGGGACTCAGACTGGCTAACACCAAGTATTCAGTGCTCACAAAACAAACCTTTAAAACCTCATAAATCAACAACCTATATATAAAAAATGCTCTGTGCATAATGAGTACCTTAAAAACAAAAAAACTACTGGGCCAAATGACCCCAAATTTGGCAACAAAACTCCTCACAATCCAAGGAATGACCATCACTGAAAAAAACCCCACAAAAATACTTTAAATTCAAAATATTACTATATTAAATAGACTCATAGAATAGAGTTAGAAGGGACTCTACCATAGTATTGCGGGAGAACAGACAGGAAGGAAGGAGAGAAGAAAGGGAGGGAGGGGAAAAGGGAAGGAATGTAGGAGGGAAAGGAGCAAGGAAGGAAGGAAGGATGGAGGGAAGGAAAGAGGAAGAAGGGAGAAAGGAAGGAAAGAAAGAGGTACCAAAGGAAGGAAGAAGAGAAAGTAGAAAGGAAAGAAAAAGGGGAGGAAAGGCAGGAAAGAGGTAAAGAAGGAAGGAAGGAGAAAAGGAAATAAAAAGTGAAAGAAGGAAGGAAACAGGGAGGGAAGAAAGGAGACAAAGGAAGAAGTAGAGAAAGGGGGAAGGAAGGAAGGAAAGAGAGAAGGAAGGATGAAACCAAAGAGCAAAGAAGGAATGAAAAAAGAGGTAGAGAAGGAAGAAAGGAGAGGAAGGGGAAGAAAAAGGGGGGAAGGAATAGGTAGGTACCCCTCTTTCATAATAGTCCTGATATCTACCTCTACTTCGAAAATTCTTACTATAGGCCACAGCTAGTAAGTTAAAAATACATATCAGAAAAAAAGCCTACTAAAGCATTCGCCAGGATATAACGACGTCCAACTCAGTCTGCACATTGTGGTCAATACCTTAGTCAATTACATATATAGATAATGTTAATAGGCATGTGTTATTTAATTGTTTTAACTACTGTTTTTAATATTTTTAATGTACTGTGGATTGTTCTATGATGACGACACCGTATGGTGCTTTGTGAAGCCACCCTGAGTCCCCATATTTATTTACCATATTTATTTACCTTAAATAAATATGGTACTTATTTATTTAAGTACCATAAATAAATGGTACTTTCTCAGTGATGGATATTACAACAACAACAACAAATAATATAGAAGGAGGGAGGATATCTGTTTGGCATGTGTATGTGTCAGAGTCAAAGTAAGACAGTGTGCAACATTGGACCCTCCCCAAGCAATGCTTCTAGACTATTTTAATTATTTGGCTTGATTCTCCTCCCTTCCCCACCCTCCCCAACATCTTCATGTCACTGTTGTGATGGGAGAAGGTGGAGAAGGGATTAAGCCAACCCGTGCACCTGTCTGAGCTTCATGCAAGAAGCTCTTTGTGGGGAGGGCGAGGAGGCTGTTGCGTAAGAGAGATTTATGGCTCTTGAGTCCTGGGAAGTTCAGGGTTAAGCGTCAACAGTTGCGCTCCCCTCCTCCTCCCTTGTTGCTCTCGTTTGCTGGGAACGATCCAGAAGGAGGGAGGAGCTTAGAGGTAAATTACCTTAGAGGAGAAAGAGACAAGGCATTGGGCATGAGATATCTTGGTTCAAGATGTAGTTGTCTTCCCTCCATCATCCCATGTCCATGCAGACAGGCCTAATGATGATCAACATATGATTGAACTATATGTGCTATACTAATAATATTTACCGTATATACTTGAGTATAAGCCAACCCGAATATAAGCTGAGGCACCTAATTTTACCACAAAAAACTGGAACAATGTATTGACTCGAGTATAAGTCATGGCCAGAATCACTGGGTTGTTGCAAGGTTTTCGGGTTTTATGGCCATGTTCTAGAAGCATTCTCTGACGTTTCGCCTGCATCTATGGCAGGCATCCTCCAGAGGCTGTGAGGTCTGTTGGAAATTAGGAAAATGGGTTTATATATCTGTGGAATGACCAGGGTGAGACAAAGGAATTTTTTCTGCTGGGGCTAGGTGTGAATGTTTCAGCGGATCACCTTGATTAGCATTCAATGGCTTGGAAGTGCCTGGGGGGAATCTTTTGTTGAGAGTGATTTTATGTGCCTGTTTGTTTCCTCTGTTGTTTTGCTGTTGTAATTTTAGAGTTTTTTAATACTGGTAGCCAGATTTTGTTCATTTTCATGGTTTCTTCCTTTCTGTTGAAATTGTCCATATGCTTGTGAATTTCAATGGCTTCTCTGTGTAGTCTGACATGGTGGTTGTTGGAGTGGTCCAGCATTTCTGTGTTCTCAAATAATATGCTGTGTCCAGGCTGGTTCATCAGGTGCTCTGCTATGGCTGACTTCTCTGGTTGAAGTAGTCTGCAGTGCCTTTCATGTTCCTTGATTCGTTGCATAAAACATATAGTTTGGTGGTCCCTATGTCGACTTGTCCACAGCTGCATGGTATACGGTAGACTCCTGCAGAGGTGAGAGGATCCCTCTTGTCCTTTGCTGAACGTAGCATTTGTTGGATTTTCTTGGTGGGCTACTGGTAAGTTTCAAAATAGAAATAGGTACCAATAAAACTCAGTAGAGTAAATATTCAAACATATTTACATAAAATTGTAATTTAAGATAAAGCTGTCCATCTCTGATTGAACCATTACTCTAACCTTCAATGTAAATGTGCTTACATATCCTTCCAATAATAATAAAGGGAGTAATATAATAAATGTAATAAAAAATAATAGAGTAAAATAATGGAAATGTAATAACAGTAATAAGAGAGTAAAATAATAAATGTAATAATAACAATAACAAATAGAGTAAAGCAATAAATGTTGTAATAAAAATAAAGAGTAAAATAATAAATGTAATAATAATAATAGAGTAAAATAATAAATGCAATAAAATAATACTAATAACAGCGTAAAATAGTAAATAACATTGACTCGAGTATAAGTCGAGGGGAGATTTTTCAGCCTAAAAAAGGCTTATACTCGAGTATATACAGTATATAAATAAAACTGTAATGTTCGTTTGTGGGATTAACACAACTCAAAAACCACTAGACCAACTGACATCAAATTTGGACACAACACACCTCTCAGGCCAACAAGTGACCATCACTCATAAAAACACTGGAAAATAGCGGAAGAAACTTAAAAAGCCAAAAAAATTGCATTACAACGTATGCGCAAAACCACACACACATATATATACAGAAACACACATATACTCAGACTGGGCCACAGCAATGTGTGGCTAGTAATGTAATGTAATGTAATGTAATGTAATGTAATGTAATATAATATAATATATTGTTTATACATACAATATTTATAATATTATAATGTAATGCAATATAATACTAATAATATATTATAATTATATATTTTATATTACATGTAATAGTATTAATAGTATTACAATATAATGGTATAGTACAATATAGTAATATATAATACTGATATTGTGCTATGCTAATAATATAATATATTGTATGTATATATATATATCTTGTAAGCCACTCTGAGTCCCCTTCGGGTGAGAAGGGCGGCATATAAATGTCGTAAGTAAGTAAGTAAGTAAATAAATAATATTTTTTCAAACTATACAGGAGGAGATTGGGAGACCTTGATAATTATACTGTTTCAAACTTTAGTTTTTAGAACCCTCCTGGCAGCCTGGCCAGTAGGATTAATATTCTTCTAACTGTAGCCCC